CAGCTATTTTTTTGTTGCAGTTTGGCCCGGGGCTGGGTTGGAACCTGACACCCTCTGTATATGGGGCCAGTGCTAGCCAGTGAGCTACAGGTGCCGCCCAAGTCTTCTCATATGTAAGGAGACAGGAAGTGCTCTCACCCCATGACTTCCAGGAAGTCTTTAGCCTGAATCTGTGTTACAGGCCAAATCTAGCTCTTGAAATTTTGATTGTACCTCATCTGTTCCTGTCTTTCTGTGTGCCCCACTTGATGCTTTTCAAGTGAGTAAACTTTTATACCGTTTCGAATGATGTCAGATACCAACACAAAGACTTATTTTGCAGGAAAAAAAATAGAATGAACATTAAAAATCAGTATTGAAGAGATAGGAAAGGTGGAAAGTTAAAATTCAAAGCACTGGTTTATTATTTTATTTTGGAAGAAACTCAGGGCTGTGTGCAGCCATCTGATGAACTTTAAACTGAGGGTGGGGGCAACTTTAGGGGGACCCATATCCACAGAGCAGAACCAGAACAGTTTGTATTTATGGATTCTGCATAAGACTTTGTTTCAAAGAAGCATTCTGCCTCTAAAAATTATTTGCTTCTGTTTTGGCGTATGTGGTGGGAGGGAGTGAATCCCCAAAGGAACAACGTGGGATCTCTTACATGGGCATGTCTGGGGCAAAAAGCCAGGAAGCCTGGGCTGGGCAGTTTGGCCTGATTTTAGGGCAATTGCTGTGGAGACAAAGTGGCAGAAAAGAACGTATTTGTGTAGTCTGTTCCACTCGGCGGGGATGCTTTAATACTTCTCTTTTTAATTTTAGGTCTTCAGCTCCGTACATGCTACCCTTGATCTTTCTATTTTTCGGGGTCAAGTTACTCTAGAGAATCTGGTAATGGACTTGAAAAAGAAAATCCCAACTTTAAGTTTCAGTCCTTTGGCACCCAGTGGAATAATCTCCGTGGAAGGATCATTTCTGGCTATCAAGAAGCTCAAAGAGTCTTTGCTTTTAAAAACAAGGTCTCTTTTAGGAAAAAAAGGAGATTTTACCAGTGAGGGGAGAAAGTGGAATAGGCAAAGCCCCCCAAGGAATCGACAGAAAAATCATAACTCGGTAGAGTCACTCGGGACCTTAGTGCCTGAGACTGCCAGCAGCGGAGAAATGCTTACGTTTGACACGGATGTTTTTCTTTACCTGAAACAAAAGTCTGGACTTTATGAAAGCATACTGAACAGATACTGTGTTCTAAGTCGGGAGAGAGCAGACGGGGAAATCACTACAATTTGTCTACAGAGTGTTCAAGGGTGTTCTCAGCCAGACAATGTAAAATATGTAAAAAAGCTCATTGAAGAATGGTCACACAACCTGCACTTACAGCTTAGAAAAGAGACATTTATGTTGGAAGGAAGGGAAAATAGAGAGAAAAGAATGATTAAGATGGCTTGCGAGCAATTAAGGTCGAAGTACCTCAAGGTTCTGGTTAACTTTTGTCAGACACATGTTGACATCATAGGATCTTCTTCTGACACTTACCTATTTAAAAAAGAGGTCATGAAATTAACAGGGGAAAAGGTTAGTTAATAAAACCTCAGCAGTAGTAACGACAATGGTTGCTTTCCAGTGCTGAGCTGGGACCATGCTGTATATGAGGCTAGCTTTACACGCCTATCTCATTAATCATTTTGACTGTACTTCATTATAATAAGAGAAGAAATTGGGCTTTGTAAAAGTTAAAACACTTAATCCGAAGTTATCCAACTGATGAGAAATGTGTCTGGGGCTTAACCCACTCTATTTGATTACAGATACTATCTAAGAAATAAAACTTTGAAAAAAACTCGACAAACTTTGAAGGATTTTTTTTTTCTCTGTAACTCTAAATTGTTAGAAAAAGAAGTAGCCTTAACATATGGAAAGTCTGGGTGATTATTTTTAGAGTGGTGTGGTGGCTGTAAGTAGCTGTCGAAATAATTCAAAAGAGCAAGTAAATAGCAAAAAAAAGAAAGCTTATTGCACAGTGAGTATGGCCTAGTGTTAGTGCCTGCAGGCTCTGTGGAAGAGACTTTATCGCCCTTGGTAGAGTGCCCTGGCATCACACAGCTCACAGCAACCTCCAACTCCTGGGCTTAGGAGATTCTCTCGCCTCAGCCTCCTGAGTAGCTGGGACTACAGGTGCCCGCCGCAATGCCTGACTAAGCATTGGCAATTTTTTAACATTTACAAAGTTTGCATTTACTCCATATAGAGTTAGAGTACTGGCAGAAATCACTTAGGAAACTACTTAGATAAAAGGTATTTCTGCTTCAGGTAATCAGTACTTGACTAAGTTCCATTGCTAGCAAGGCTGCTGGACATGAGGGACATTTTTACTATTACCGTGGTCAAAACTTCAAGGAAATTTTGGTCTAGGTCCACTTACTTGGTGCACAAATGTAACAGACCTGGCCTGGAAAAAAAAATGGTAAAAATGTTTTTTATCTCTTCAAAACCCCCTTACTCTTTTTTAAGAAATAAAACCTACATCCCTGTCTCAGGACAGCAGTCTGGAGGGGCAGGGGAATGTCTTTTGTTCTTTTGACCAAGGGAATCATCTTACCTAAGGATGAGATCAGTCTGGGCAGAGGCCACAAGATTATCATTATCTTAACCCAAAATGGAATTATGGGGATTAATCAGAACATTTAAAAGTTCTGTGCTTCTGTTCAGAGAGGGGATGCCGATATTTTTGAGATGGGAGTCTGCCAGCCTCCTCGTTTGCCAGCAAATCGCATATCCCCATTTTTCTGATGCGGTTTCAGGGGACAAGTGCTGAACACTGGTAACACAAAGATCTAATTATTTAGATACTAAAGATGAAGGAAGAAGAGAATTTTTAAAGTACAGCAGATGTCTTGGGAGAATGGGAGAACCTGCCTCAAATCTGTCTCTCTAACTAATGAAACTATAAGCTTTTAAAGGAAGGGCTACATGGCCTTGGGATAGTTTGTGGTGAAACTGATAAGGGGCTGTGTGTGGGGGGGGGCGGGGAGAGGAGGCAGGTTGTGGGAGATGGTGTATCTTAGTGTTAAGAAGACTGCCTAGGGAACTTCAGAATCTCAGCTCCTTTGTCTTACAGAAAATCCATCACTTCTGGGAAACGACTGAAAATGTCAAGTAGGTAAGGGAGAGGATTATAGAAAAACATAGAGGGGTCACTGAAATTTGTTCATAGAGTCAGTTACATTACTTGTAAGTGCTTACATAAAATGTTGATTCTCTTGTTATAATTGTGAAGGTTGATCATATATATGAATGGGCTCATTTTTGTCACACTCAACTAAAGCAGCTTTACTGGATACAGGGTCCAGCTGCCTGTCACTGTCTGGCCAATATGCAGAGACGGGGGCTAGCTCCAACGAACTTCATTATCAGAAGGCCCGCAATTCTGCACAATAGTAAGAATAGTCTCTCAATTCTGTTCTGCCTCAGTTACAATTCTAATAGTTTTTATGATGGGAATACAAGGAAACCTAGAAAATTTCAATTTTATCTGATAGGAAGTAACAGCAAAGTAGCCTTTAATAGTGCAAAATGTTTAAACAATAGAAAGGTAATTTTGGCTTGGCACCTGTGGCTCAAAGTGGCTTAAGGTGCCAGCCACAAACACCTAGGTGGCCAGTTCAAATCCAGCCTGGGCCCACCAAACAACAGTGATGGTTACAACCAAAAAAAAAAAAAAAATAGCCAGGCATTGTGGCGGGCCCCTGTGGTCCCAGCTACTTGGGAGGCTGAGGCAGGAGACTCGAGCCCAGGAGTTGGAGGTTGCTGTGAGCTGTGATGCCATAGCACTCTACCCAGGGGGACAGCTTGAGGCTGTCTCAAAAAAAAGAAAAAGAAAGGTAATTTTCATTGTAACAAAATATCTCAGGGGATCATTAAAGAAAACAGCATTTCATCCAAGTAACTTTTACTATACCAATATCACAACACTTATTGTCTATGTATGGCTACTTCTTCAAGTCTCCTGAGATAACCATCTTCAAAAATCACAGAGAAACCTGAACTAGACAATGACAGAGCGAAGGGTGTGTGGGGAAGGTGAGCTCGGCAGACGAGGTTCACTGTAAGACTTCAGTTTAAACGTCTCAGACTCCATCTTGCAAGCTGCTTTTCTGGCTTGAGCAGTGCAAAGAAGCCAGTGGAAAGAAGTACCTGGGACATATAACATTGCTCCAAGAATAGAATTCTTTTTTTCTTTTTATTTATTTTTTGAGATAAAGAGTCTCACTTTGTCGCCATCAGTAGATTGCTCTGGCATCATAGCTCACAGCAACCCCCAACTCTTGGGCTCCAGTGATTTTCTTGCCTCAGCCTCCCAAGTAGCTGGGATTACGGGTGCCCACTGCAACACCTGGGCTGGTTGTCGGGGATGTTTCTACCAAGAATATAATTCTCTGTAAATCTCCAAACTGAAACTGCTTGCTGTAACCTGACAGTAGTTTCATGTTTTGCTGCTGAGATAACATATTGCAATTCTAGAATGAATTTTTCCCACTGCCGTGGCCTATCTACCAGAGCTTGCCAGCTCCCCAAAGCTTTACTTACACTAATGAACTTTCCCTTAAGACCACATGTAACGGCTGGGCACGGTGGGTCATTCCTGTAATCCAGCACTGTGGGAAGCTGAGGCGGGAAGAGCCCTCAAGCTAAGGAGTTTGAAAGCAGCCTGATGGAGAGACTCCATCTCTACTAAAAATAAGAAAATAGATTAGCCAGTCATTTTGGCATGTACCTCCCAGCTACTTGGGAGGCTGAGGCAGGAGGATAACCTAAACCCGTGAGTTTGAAGTTGCTGTGAGCTAGGCTAAGGCCATGGCACTCCAGTCTGGGCTGCAGAGTGCTCTCTCAAAAAAACAAAGCAAAACAAAACAAAAGTTGTCAGTTATTAACTTAAATATTGTATTTTTTTAGATTTAAGAAAATTTTCTAGGTGGCATCTGTGACTCAGTGAGTAAGGCACTGGCCCCATATACCGAGGGTGGTGAATTCCAACCCAATCTTGGCCAAACCGCAACAAAAAAATAGCTGGGCATTGTGGCAGGTGCCTTTAGTACCAGCTACTCAGGAGGCTGAGGCAAGAGAATCGCTTAAGCCCAGGAGTTTGAGGTTGCTGTGAGCTGTGATGCCACGGCACTCTACCCAGGCATGACAGCAGTTTAGTAAAGTATACTTTTATAAATACAGATAAAATTATTTAATTTTTTTTCCTTCCTCACTTCATTCCTTCAGAAATTCTATTTGTGATCATTCTTATGGCAATATACTTACTTGCATAAGTCCAGTAAAAATCTGTTCTCTTGTTGTACCAGAACAATCAAAAATGTTGGTTATAATAAAGTGACCAGACGTCCTGCTTTTGGCGGGACAGTCCTAATTTTTAAGAATTTGTCCCACATCCTGCAGTGTTTTTAAAAAGTCCTAATTTTTGGAAAGAATGTATGACAAGCTAGGGAACAGCGGGACAACGGGAAGGGAATATATGGTTTTCGGCTGCCATGTGGCTATTTCACCAGGATATGAGTTTTATATTATTTTTGTTAATTTTATAATGTTAAACTGTAATAATAACAAATAATTGTTGAGAAGTGATTATCGAGAACTGCTTATCGAAGTTCGCATTGTTGATCAGTTGTTAGAATTCGACCACCATTGTTTGGACTTAATGAATGGCATTTTTTGGCATTGGCAACGATGAAAACATTTTGCAACCGTCTCTCAGACGATACACATCGTACTGCATGCTAGTGCTAGTTAAACAAGTGATGTCAACAAATCAGCTATTCAGATAATTTAGGTAAGTAATTTATTTAATGAATTTAGCAAACAGTACTCATTTTATTTGTATTTTATAGTGGCGGCAAAAAGTCTAGCACTGGCCTTGTAAGTGACACTTACAAATTACGAGGTATCATTATTAAAAAAATATATTGGTGAGGAAAAGGTTAAATCTTGGGCATCAGCAAAAATTACAATAGAGAACAAATGGTTAGAAATATTTCATCATTTTGAAACAAACCAGGTTCCATACAATAATGCACTAAAAATTATGGGATACGCGCTGTCCTTACCAGTAACTAATGCTGTGACTGAACCCATTTTTTCTATGGTAAATAAAGTGTGGACATCAGAAAAATCACAATTAAGTGTTGAGACTTTGAAAGCCATTTTATGTGTGAAATATAATTTAACAAATTCTTGTGAAAA